CGGGCTCCCTGCTAGGCGGGGAGCCTGCTTCTCCCTCTGCCTCTCTCTCTCTGTCTCTAATGAATAAATAAATAAAATCTTTAAAAAAAAAAAAATAAAGTTAAGACTCAACTTCAGGTTTTAACAATGATAACATGTGATCTAAGAACAGGATACAAAAACAGATTTGATTTTCTGGATTTTTTTTCTTAGTTGTACCAAAGTTGAGGATAAATCATGGGTAAACCATTAATTTCTATGTGATACTAAAACAAGTAAATATTTTCTCTTTGTGTCTCAAAGAGATTTATTTCAGCAGATTACATTGAATTTGGTCATAAAGAAAATATGTCTAGTAGTTCTTAATTATTTTATCACAAGAAAAGAAATGACAAGTCATGTTCTAAGAAACTTTTAATTCAGTGCCACATGTTGATATAGAATTTCATAGCATGTACCTGTGTGTTGTATCTGTGTGTAAATTTTGATGTTTGTAAAAAGGTGAGCTAGGTCAAATGAGTATCATTTATATTAATTTCTCCTTCGGATAAATTAATGAAACCTTCACACCTGACTTGCTATAATAGATTGCCATCAGAAATAGAGCCCAATCTCACTTTTACACTGTTTAGAGCATTGGGCATGTGCTTTCTTTTTTTTTGGGTGGGGGGGGCGGGTCATGAGCTTTCTAAAAAAGACTTTTATCTGCAATTGACTTGTCATCTAGTCTCAGAAGGGAGCATTTTAATCCTGTTTGCCTCCCCCTCACCTTGTGCGTTTTGTTTTTTTAACCTTAAAGGGTGAACCAGGTAGAAATGGAAATCCCGGTGAAGTGGGATTTGCAGGATCTCCGGTAAGTTTATACTTATCAACACAATGCCATAGAGGCAAACTTTGAAAAGGAAAGAACATTAAAATTACCTTGTAATTCATTATATACATGTGCACTAGACACTATCACCAAGATATGTTCCCTTCTGTCATTGTGAAACGGTACATTTTGCTAGAGTGATAGCTAATTCCAATTTCCTATTTTGCATTGGCACCATATGAATAATCCTCCTAGAGCTAGATAATTATTTCATAACCTAACACGGATACTCTCCAAACTGAGTGTCAAATTTACAAAGTCACCAACCTGACCTATTTCTATTTCACAACTTCCTAATCCCATTATCTTTTTAATATTTTTATTTTGTATTGTTCACTTGTCAAAAAGAACAGCTTGAAAGTTTATTGATTTGTTTTTTTATATGCTAGGGACAATAAATTATGGACAGGATGCCTCTTTGGCTGCTCCTCAAACCCTCATGTTGGCTGAAATTTGTTGTTCTGGACCCTAAAATCTTATGACAAAATACACTGATGGCCAGCACTCCTAACATAGCTACTTCTCCCCTTGGCTTACTGCAGGGACCGGTCCCTGGTAACACACTCCACCAGAATTCAGGACCTGGGCCACTTGGCCATACTCTAAACCCACCTCTCTGTCCTCACTCAGGTTACTTTGATAGGCCCTCTCCTAGGATATGCTACACAGGCAATGGGGAAAATTAGAGATAAGCAAGCAAAAATCTTCTTAACATTCTTGCTCTTGAAGTTTCTCCTTGTCTGACAACCCCTAAACGGATTCAACCTTCTACTTCCTACATTTCCCATACTCTCCTGATGTTCCTTCCCCTCAATACAACCAACAGTACTGAATTATTCTCCACTTACTTCCTGAAAATTGATGAAGTTCAATGCTGGGATTTTTTTAAAAAACAAATGAGTGCTTATCTTTTAAGGGAACTTATAGGACTCCAAGGATTATTTAGTTTCAAAAATAAAACCAGTTCCCCAGCTCCCTGCTCTCTCTCTTCCCTTTCCTCCCCCAGCAGCCTGGGGAGTCAGTGCAGACCGAGGCATGAGGTTTAATTAGCACAGATGTCCACGTCAGCCAACGCAGGCTCGAACATCCCATCCTACTGTGCTCTCGCACATCCTCTCGGTGTGGGCCCTCTGTGGGGAGGAAGCAGGCCCTGCCAGCATGTCGCAGATGCACCCGGCAAGTTCTGTGCAAGGACACATGTGATTGGGGTGTGATGACAGTCTCGGGTCAGCAGAAAGAGAAAATTCTATGAGTACTAGCACATCTGGTTCATTTTCTTGCTGCACTAGAGATATGTAATTGCATGAGAATTCCCTTGCAGACCACAAAAACTCAAAGTTAAGTAATTATTTGAAATAGCATAGCTCAGTAATTCTCCTATAGGCTGAGTGTAGGGAGTTCCCTGCTCAGGAAGGAGGGGGAACAAATATCAGTAAAGGGGAGCATTCCAGTGGACAGACCTACAGGAAATGCTTGAAGTGAAGAATTCCCAAGCAGGGCTGCATAAACAGAGGAATTAGTGGAATTTTAATTGTTCAGAGAGACATGGTTTGATGTGCCCTGACTGTTAAAACCCCTCCTTAAAACATTACAGAAACATTCTCCCTACAAGAGGTCACAGAGGAATGATTGCTTTGCTTTTATCATATGAATTTCATTTATTGAGTAGTTAGTACACAGTGAATGAAGGCAATGATGTACAGAACAGAAGATTTTGCCATCTGTCTGAGATTGTGTTAGCACAAGAGAAGTTCCTTAGGAAAGGTTTAGGAGAAGTGCTATGAGTGTTAAGACAAATGTTAAATCATTTCTTCAGTTGTTTCTTCAGTGATTATTCACTAAGTGCCAGGGACATGCAGATTAATAGTAATGGTTGATAATAATTGATACATGAATCTATGCTAGCAATGTACTCAGTCTACTGGTGCCAGTGATAATGGCATTCAATTCAAAACCAAATTAATGTAGACAATGAGAATAAGTGAATAATTAAGTCACTGGGTCCTTACCTATTTTAAGAGGGTATGAGGAAAAAGTTGCAAGCATCATTTCAAAATAGTTATACCATTTGCATTTAATTTTCTGTTTGATTCCTATTGTTTTTTAATCTACTATGCTTAGGTGGAGGATGCATAAAATTAACACAAATTAGGGAATTATTGAGTCTAAGATCCAACTTGTTCTCTCCATAATTCTTGACCAACCCTTCTGTTGGATATTTCCTTTCTTCAGTTAATCTTTAAAACAATCATAGATCCATAAAACTTCTCCTGAACATTTTACTTAAAATAATTTTGATCACATTTTAATGTGATCTTTCTAATCCTATTCTCCTGCCAATATTTAGTAGTTCAGAGAAAATAAAACACCTTGATGTGTACAGACGTATTTATTCTTCTACCACAAGTAAAGCACAATATAGAGAAAGCATAGTTTTCCTTAAGTTCCTTCCCTGATTTTTTTTCACATACAATTGATGTAGTTGATCCAGACATTGAACACGTTGACTCTGGCTTATTTTCCTGTATTTTGTCTGTTTGGGTTTTGTTTGTTTTTATGTTGTTTTGTTTTTTGCTACTAATTATAATACAGTGATATAGTTTAAAAATTTGGAAATGTCATCAAATCAATACCTGGCACTAATCCAGGTCTTTGTGTAAGTCATGTTTCCATTCCTAACAGTGAGTTTTCTTTGCTAATTTTGATCACGTAGATGTATTTTGACACATGAAAGTATACTGCTCCTTTCTCTTCTTTGATATTTTGCTAAACAAAACTATAGTATTAGATTTTTGGAGAACAAAATTATGTTAAACAATTTCCTATTCTTATTAATAACTCTCAAATGCCTTACCTATTTTTTTACACAGGGAGCTCGAGGATTTCCTGGGGCTCCTGGTCTTCCAGGCCTGAAGGGTCACCGAGTAAGTTCAATCCTTCATAATCCTTTCAGATACTATGGCTTATTGAGTAGGGTCTGGGGAGCATTACCTTCAAAATCTTTACAATTCTGTTTGTCAGTTGTCCTTAGCTGGCTCTGGTCTCAGTATTCATCTGTGGTTGCCAAATTCACAATACTTTTTTATATTTTCTTTGAATTTCATTTGATTGTATAAACAAATATATTTTGTGTTCTTACTATATGCTGGATACTGTACTCCAAAAGAGGACACAGTGATGAACGAGGAAAATCCATAGCCTCAGCCTCAGGCTAATGAGGGTTACGGTTACAAAAAGACATAATGACTACATAGTGGAATAAGTGACATGATACTAGAGAGCGCTAGATCATGGGAGGGGTCCAGTCAGCCCAAACTGGGGAGGCCATAGAATGCTTCTCTCTTTATAACTCAAGATAATTAATATGTAATTACTATATGTTATGTACATATATAGAAATTACATATCACTCAAAATGGAGGTAAGACCTCCATTGCAGCAACAACGTGTGCTTGACCACACAAGGTTGATGGGCATGTAACGGAACCAAAGAGAGCCGTTTCTAGAAAGGATTCTGTAAAGCCTGATGCCCATCTAGCAGTGAAGAAAGTTTCCATCAGCGGTATTAAAGAAGATACAGAAGAATAGAATCTGAGAGACTACTTCAAAAAGTATGGCAAGATTGAAACCATAGAAACTATGGAAAAAAGGCAGACTGGAAAAAAGAGAGGATTTGCTTTTGTAACTTTTAATGGTAATGATGCAGTTGGTAAAATTGTTGTTCAGAAAAAGCACACTATTAATGGGCATAATTGTGAAGTGGAAAAGGCCCTTTCTACAGAAATGCAGTCTGCTGGATTACAAGGGAGTCATGGAGGTAGATCTGGCAACTTTATGGGTGGTGGAGGAAACTTCGGTGGAAGGTGAGGCTCTGGTGGTGGAAGTGGTGGCAGCAGAGGTAGCTAAGGAGGAGGTGATTGTGGCAACGGTGGTGGTCCTGGTTATAGCGGTAGAGGAGGCTGCGGTGGCGGTGGACCAGGATATGGGCACCAAGGAGGCAGGTATGGTGGCGGTGGTGGAGGATATGATGGTTACAATGAAGGAGGACATTTTGGAGAAAACTATGCTGGTGGTGGGTGCCATAATGATTTTGGAAATTACAGTGGACAACAGCAATCAAATTACGGACCGATGAAGGGGGACAGTTTTGGTGGAAGAAGCTCGGGCAGTCCCTGTGGTGGTGGTTATGGGTCTGGTGGTAGAAGTGATGGATATGGTAGCAGAAGGTTCTAAAAAAACTCAGAAGAAAAGGCTACAGTTCTTAGCAGGAGAGAGAGTGAGGAGTTGTCAGAAAAGCTGCAGGTTACTTTGAGACAGTCGTCCCAAATGCATTAGAAGAACTGTAGAACTCTGCCACAGAAGGAATGATGATCCATAGTCAAAGAAGTTACTGCAGCTTAAACAGGAACCCCTTCTTGCTCAGGACTGTCATCACCCCAGTTTGCAAACAGTGTAGCTATGGATTAATGCAATGTAGTGTCAATTATATGAGGTCTTTTATCTGTTATAGCTTTTGCTTTTTCGTTTCATTACATCAGGTGTAGTGCCTGGTAAATTGTGGTAGTGCAGCCAGGAATAAAAAGTTGAAAGATTTGTAACTTTTCAATATTTGTGTAGTTCAGCTTTTCTACATTATAGTACAGAAACTTTAACAAAATGCAGTTTTGAAGGTGTTTCCTTGTGAGTTAACAAGGAAAGAAGATCATTGTTAATTACTATTTTGTATGAATTTTGCTAAAATTAACTGTAAAGAAATACTTGCTGACTTGCAGTTTAAGGGAAATCTATTCTCCGCATTTCCAAACCATGAAATGAATGGGCTCTGACATGTGGCGAGAATAGGTATTTGTATGTTTGCAATATGTTTTAGATAAATAGAATTGGGTATTTGGATTAGCATATTTGTGAATTTAATAGCATTAAGATTTACTCTGAAATGAAAGAAGATCGCAAAATTCCAGAAAAAAAATTACATATCTATCAGTCTATCATCTATCTATCAGAAAGCATGGCTGATATTTGAGAAGTATATACTGGCTGTCCTCTGTTTTGAGTAGTTGAACTTCTGATTAGAATGCTTGCTGCTATACTAGTTATTAATTATTTTGAATGTCTTCCCTAGCTATAACCCATATTCTATAACTGTATAACCTCCACAATTACTTGTCTTCTCTAAAACCACCATAGATTTTTCATTTGTAGCTATAGATTAAATTTCTGTGAAGTCACAAAAATCTGAAAGGTGAGGACATTGCAAGTTAAGAATGGTACTTTAATTTTCTTTGAATAGGCTTTCAAAAAATGTTGAGAATTTGGAAACATTCTGGGTAACAACTTTAAATGTCTGTTTTTATAAGACACTTTCTGTGAGCTTATTTTTGGTCCTTCTTTTATATATCTGAGAATAAAAAAAGCAGTAAAATACAAATTTATATTTTTCTCCTTAGGGACACAAAGGTCTTGAAGGCCCTAAAGGTGAAGTTGGAGCAACTGGTTCCAAGGTAACTGTATAAAACCTAAATCTAACATCACCATTGCATTTCTGGTTTGCTTCAAGTGCCTACCAACTTTTCAGAACCCCCTTAAATTTTGGAGGAAAGAGGAGTATAAAAAAAAGAGATAGTTGAGTAGATAAATACAATTTTTCATAGATGAGTGGCAATAGATTTGGTAGGATACATGACATGGCTTAACTTTGCCACCAAGATTAGACATCATGGCACTGGGTTTCTGCCAATGTAGGATGGGTGCTTTCCTCACATGAAGATGGTACTATGAATTCACCTTCTAAAACACAGTCACTGTTTTATTTCTTCAAAAATATCTGAGAGGTTTAAATAGTTTATTAGCTCCATTATTTAGTACCCTTTTGATTCCAGGGCCTTCTAGCCATTGTTTCTTCCCAAGATGTGTTTATGTTTCTAGAGGAAGAAAGAGACCATAAAAGAAGTACAGAGGACTTTTTAGTGGGAAGCATCATGTGAGATATATGAACATATATAAGTGTGATGTATGTATGATATATGTATGTGTATATATATGTGTGTGTATATATATATGCATTAGCTTTAATTATTTTATTTTTAAACTTCTTATAATCTTAAAGGAACATTAGTCAATTTTAGCTTTCTGAAGTTTTACTTGGACTAAAGTATTATCAGACATAAACATATAATTACCTTTTTGATACTAACTAATGTGAACAGATGTGATAGTTTCATCAATCTTGTTTACATCCTCACTTTTATTTTATACTTTCTTCTATAGAAACTAAATTGCCATTGCATTTTAAGAAAAAGTAATACAACAGAATTTTGAGTTCCTTCATTTCAAGTATGCCTTTCAAATGCTCAGTTTGAAAATACACTTTTAAAATGACACACACATGGAAACAGTGATATGAATATCAGTTGTAGGTTTTTCGTACTATAATGTAATCTCATTTTTGCTTTAGGGTGAAGCTGGCCCTACTGGTCCAATGGGTGCCATGGGTCCAATGGTATGTATCAATTTAATTCTTTGGTGTTTTTTTTTTTTTCTTTTTAGTCTATATAAAGAGAATGTTTAAATGGAAAACAAAACGACATGGAGAAAATATGTTAGCTGATGAAGTAATCTTGATTACCAGCTGACAGACAAGCACATCCAGAGAATTGCACCCTTTGAATAGAAAAGACTTCTTGCATTTCATTGTTTTCCTTAATCATTTAACGCTCTTATTCTTTTTCTATAGTTAGTGTTCACATCAGGATTATTGTAGATTTAGCCCATTTTGGCTACATTAATTGAAATCTATTTAGGTAAGAGGTGGTAGGTTATGTATCCCCACAGGTGGAGATTTTTTTTTTTTTAAGATTTTATTTATTTATTTGACAGAGAGAGCACAAGCAGGGGGAGTGGCAGGCAGAGGGAGAGGGAGAAGCAGACTCCTTGAGGAGCAGGGAGCCTGATGCTGGGCTCGATCCCAGGACCCCGGGATCATGACCCGAACTGAAGGCGCTCACTTAACCAACTGAGCCACCCAGGTGCCCTGGTGGAGATTTTTTCAAACCCAAAGTTGCCCCTAGAAATACTACTGTTTGGTAGCCAATTAAATTGAGTCTCAATTGAATTGAGTGATGTAGTCAAACTACCTTAGAATTCAAATAAGATGCTTCAAAGGTGTTTTTTCTCTCTCATCTGTAGGGTCCAAGGGGAATGCCAGGAGAAAGAGGGAGGCTTGGGCCACAGGGGGCTCCTGTAAGTATGCATATTTCAACTCTCTCAAATGAACTGAATATGTCTTTTAAATGAGAATATAGTACTGGTTGCCTACTTTTTAATTTTTCAATTTTCTTCCTTGCTTTTTATTTTGAAATAATTTTATGTTCACAGAAAATTTGCAAAGGTAGTATAGAGAGTTCCTGTGCACGCTTTACGTAGCTTCTGTTAATGTTAACATCTTATATAACCACAGTACATTTGTTGCCTACTTATATTAATACCAAAGTTAAGAAAATTATAAAAAACCTATAGCAGCATGGAATATAGTCCGTGGAAAAAATATAAAATTTGGAATAGTAGTAAAATTATGATAACAGGTACCATTTATCAAGCAGTTGTTATATGCCAAGCATTCTTCCACGCTTTACTTCATATTCATCACAATCCTGAAAGGTAAGTACTATGAGTGTACCCTTTTTAAAGAGCTGAGTGTCCTGGTCATCTGTCTTTGATTTATTTTATTATTTTTAAAATATTTTTTATTTATTCATGAGAGAGAGAGCATGTGTGAGCAAGAGCACGAGCAGGGGGGAGGGGCAGAGGGTGGGAGAAGCAAACTTCCCACTGAGCAAGGAAAGGGCTTGAACCCAGGACCCTGAGATCATGACCTGAACTGAAGGCAGACACTTAACTGACTGAACCACCCAAGCACCCCTGTGCTTTATTTTACATGTATAGATTGAGAAATGCCCTTGCTGTCTGCCTATGTACCTCGAACCTAGCTAGGTAGGGGGCATATTCTATTGATTCTCTTCACAGCTCTCTGAAGGTTAGGCTCTACTTGCTAATATTTCAACCTTGCAGTTCATTATATTGCACCCACTTTAATTTGGACAATTAAGGACTGCACCTAGCCTCTGTTATTACGGGATCTTATCATCCCTATTCGTATTAGGAGTCCCAGGTTTACAGCATCCCCTGCTGTTACCCCTCGCTACAGAAGACAGCCACTTTAGAATTTCTCAATAGTACCAAAGTCAGAGCCCTGGCTGGGGAGAAGTGAGACCCTCTCACTAGGCCCTTATATCCCTTTGAAGATAAAGTGTCCTCTGGAAACGTAGAAACTACTATAGAATGTAGTCGGCTGTTGCTTATCCATCCTTCCATGGTATATCCGACCTCGTATGTTCACTTCTCTGTGCTTTATTCTACTCTCTGCCAAGGCAGTTTTGGCATTGCTACGTCACTCAGTGTGGGCCATTGCTCTTTCTAAACCATCTCTCATGTTAACACCATTTTTCAGAGTCTTCATCAGAGTGTTAAATATGTATCATGGGAGAGTATTTCCATATTATTAAAGTCCTCCACTTTATGTCTTTTCCCTCACAATCCGGTACCCTCAGGACCTACTTCCACACATTCTCTTTTGGATTCGGCCTCTACATGATGTAAGGGACTCATAGCTCCTTTGGTGTGTATCTTTCCTCTTTTATCAGAAGCAGCTTTTCCTCAACTCAGTTATTTCGAGACTTGATGCTAGTTATTGATCTGGTGGCTGAGCAGCAGGGGCAGGTGGTGGTGGTGGCATATATTGTCTGGCCAAGTAGAGGCTTCCGCACTATCTTTAAGTGAGGAGGAATAAGCTGTTAATGGTGGGAATTTCTACAGGCCCACAGACTTCGGAGTTGAGATTTCAAAGTCCCCAATGCCAAATATCATTCCTTCTAATCAAGGGCCCTGACCACAGGGCATAACAGACTTTCTGTGGTTTAGAATTCAACCTTCTCAAGAGCTCTTGAAGCTTTATCAAGTCCTGGGTCCAATCTTCAGCTTTTTCTTCCCTCTGATTGTAGAAGATTACAATATCTTAAAGTGCTTCAAGGAGTCTTATATTGATGATAAATCACCATTAGCCTTTCAATGTCTTTCTCCAATGTATTCATCCAACAAGATCCATGCAATCCATCAACTTGATAACTGCTACTTCTTCGAATCCTTCGCAAGTGTCTGAGCTCTGTACCCATAGCCCTTTCTCTTACACTTGTGTCCTATCTCAATTTGCCACTGGAGACAATATCTATTGCTGCATCGCCCCAGGATGTCAAGAGTGAGTCATACTTCACCTAGATAGTCAGTGAGGAATCCAGCTTTAAATTTCCATTTTAGAGTCTGCTTTCTTGTACTTCTTCTGGCACCAATGGTATTAGGATGTCAGGTCAGGTTTCCTAGGAAACAGCAGCAAAACAAAGACTTGTGTGCAGGGAATTTATTGGGGAGTGATCTCAGAAGCTACATTTGTGAAGAAATGAATAAAAAGCAGGGTTTGTCACAAGGAGAATTTAAGCTGTATACAATTACAACAAAGAGCCCAGTCTCCATGAGTTGTCAGTTCCATGAGAACTATGGGGTTGGGATGGCTCATCAGACTTGTCTTAATGTGGGGGGGGCGGTGACCAATCCTTTGTACTACTGCATTGACCTTGGAAGAGGCATAACCTCGGGAGTGCTAACTCCTTTGCTGAGGGCAGTTGGTGGGAGGGTCTTAACTATGAGCCATCAGCTTACAACACTTCCAGCAGTGGTAGAATGATTACTTCAGTGCTGAAGGAAGATCTAGATGATCACCATAGCATTCACTACTACTTAATTTCCTGTGTGTGTGTGTATGTGTGTGTGTATGTACTTTATTTTGCTGTTGTTTTTACGAGGAGCACATTCCTCCTCTGAGTTAATCTGCCTATTAGAAAGACTGAGGTGTATAAAATTTCATTGTCTTTGAGTTCATTTGATTGCAAATCATACATTCAAATAAAAAGGATCATTTTAATCAGTTCCATTTTTTTTCAATCTTGATTTTTCTTTGTTATTGTTGTAAGGATGGGTGTGTTTATTACTACCCTATCAATGTTGTACAAAAATGTATTTTTATTGCTATTGACCCAGTTGAGGTTGTTGTCAGTTAATATTTATTCTTCAGTTTTTAACATGGAAATTTTTATAAAACAAGTGAATTATGAGCAAATACTGTAGAAAATGTAATTTTACCTTGTCTCTTTTTCTCCTAATTAGGGACAACGAGGTACACATGGTATGCCTGGAAAACCTGGGCCAATGGTGAGTTGTACTACTTTCATATTCACTTCATTCATTTATTCTTCCATTTGTACATTTGTTAACATTTACAGAGCACTCACTGTGTCCCAGATACTTGGAATAAAAAGGTGCAAAACACATAGTACTTATCTTTGGTAACTGCCTTGTCTATCAAGGAGAGATACATCGATTAATATTGTAGCATAATGCTGTTGCTAAGTGCTACGCTGTACAGTGTAACGTGAAGTTCAAGTATGGGAACCTACTGGTACCTAGACCTATAGTGAGATACAGATATTAAGGAAGACTTAAAGAAGAACAACTTTCAAGCTAAGTCTTGAAAGATGAGTATATAAAATGAGCTGTAATATAGCGTGGTCTATAGGATGGATAGATGAAAAAAAACAACATGAGGAGCTCAGGAAAATACAAGGAGGGTAAATCAGATTTGAAATTATTTGCCCTTAGGATCTTTCATGCCTTTTCTTCATAAAAAGGAAACAAAAAGATAGGAGGAAAAAATAAAAATAGTTTAAAAGGGATTTTATTACTGTAAAACAGATGGAATTACAATACAGTCCTCAAAGAAGAATCAGGATAACCTAGAATGGAATTCCTCTTACACTCACTCATTTCCTTTAAATCTGGCCTTTAAATCAATGGTTTAAACTCTATGCACACCTTCCCAAATATGGGATAGTGACAAATATCCACATATTAGCCTGAAAAAAATCACTCTAAAATACCCAGATGATTCTTAAGCATCATTTTTATAAAGTGCAGTCCTGGATTTTGGTACAAAACCTAACTTTCTAAAAACTGTATCACTTGGTTAGCACAAAGAAAGTTCATCTCTCAAGAAGCAATTGTTTCAAATAATTTGTATTTGTGACTGACTTATGCTCTAATACACTACAACAGCAAGTGTTTAACACCACTGGACATGGCTTTTAGCACTATTCCATACCAATGTTGGAAAGTACTTATAATAAAATGACATTATCTTTGTGATTTGAAAGTACTAAGTGGATTAATCCTATGTGTCAAAATACAGAATGTTGTCAAAGAATGAAAGATGACTCAATTAGATATTGATTAAAAAACATGTCTGATCACTTTTCTGGTTTCTTTTAACAGGGTCCTCTTGGGATACCTGGATCGTCCGGTTTTCCAGGAAATCCTGGGATGAAGGTAAAATGTTAATATATTTAGCTCTTGATTACAAGAATTACTTGATTATATGAATCCTGAAGTGAAGAATGGCATTTCCTTAATTGTATGGAGGTTGCTTAACTAAGGAAAAAGCCTAGAGCATTCTCAGTGTCTATTATGGTAGGGAAAAAAATAACTGTAAAAATTTAAAAATGAGATTACTAAACAATATGTACTTAAAAGAGAATTACTGATAATCATACAATTGTAATATCAAAGAATCTGCTGTGTTAGAACTCTAAGCTAGACAATTGTAACAGCTGCAAGGAATAAGAACTTAAACTGAATTGGAACTCTGTTCTTGGATACAGTGCCTGGCAGTAATAAATAGCAGAATGTTCTAAACAATAGGAGGTTAAAATAAATTAGAGGTTGTCAAAAGGCTGTTCTCTCACACAATGCTGGCTTTCGCTCCTCCCCCTGCCCCTACCATTTACACAACCCATTAAAGGAATAGTCAGGGAGGCTATTTGCCTTTCCACATGGGAATGATTAAAGTATTCTGTTGGGATGGTTTACATTTGTAGGGAGTCACAGTTTGTTCTTTCAGTGTTTTGGATGATAAATTCAAGGATTATAGTAGGAGGTTATTAAGATTATATTAGCTAAATTAGTGAATACATTCAGAACACTTCTTTCAAATGTTAAACAACACAATACATTTGACTACCCCTCACACCCAGTTTCCCCTTGGCAATAATTTTCTTCATCTCACAGAAGGGATTTACTCACAAGATTCTGCTGTACAAAAATGACTGTAGCTATGGCAATCACCTCACTTCTCTCAATCTTGTCTTCTCATGGAATTTCATTGAAGGTTAAGTGATGCCCTCAATATAGATCCAGGCTTCTTGTGAGGAGTGCTACTCAAATGGGCTTTGAACTTGTTGTTTAAAACCACCACCACCACCAACAACAACAACAACAAAATTTCAAATACTGTGAAATGTGAGCGTCATCAAGTCAAATTATTCTTCAGGCTCTCTCTAATGCTGTCTTTAAACTCTGTGCCGCAGAGATGTGGCTGCTTTAAAATGATGCCCTAAGTCATTTCACTAACCAGTCCCTTCTTTCTGTGCACTTGGGCTCCTAGGACCTTCTTGAGGTCCCCTCTGTTTCTGATCTGCTCCCCTAAGTCCTAATCCTGCTGCTCCTGGCTCTGGCCATGGAGGGCCCATCTTCCCTATGTTCCCTGATCAAAATATGCAAAATCCCTTCCCCTTTCATGTGAGACCCTCTACCCTCAAACTGAGCGCTGGCCAGAGAATTAAGGATAGAATACTCACAATGGCCCGGACTAAGATTTAGCAGAAAGTGGTTTCTACTCCTACTGTGGCATCTAGATAAGACTCTTAGAATCACAATTTATATAGCAGTTCACTCTGCATACTTCCTTTTCCTCCTGGGGTTTTCTAGCATTGGCTGTTGGCTACTGAAAACTGCTTAAAAAGTCAAACACTTTGCAAAACTGTTTTTCTCAGAAATTATTTGCCTATCCTATTCCCACCTCCCCAGGCATAAAATTCCCAGATCTTTGTTTTTGGCCAGGATTCTGCTATACCTGTTAAATTCTTCCATGGTCTCTGTTTTTCCAAATGAAGAATAAACTTCCACATCCAGTTCTTTGTATTTCAAGGTTTCAATAGAGATTTTATATGTCTTATTGGCACTAATGAACACCCTAAGGCTTAGAATTTTAGTTCTAAAATTCCAGATCTAGGTCCCTCTAGGATTAGATCTACATAAGGACCTAATATATTATATAAAATACAGAAACCCACTTAGCTTTAAATTTCAGATAAATAAAGAAAAAATTTTCATATAGATAGGGCTCAAATATTGCCTGGGACAAACTTATACTTAAATTATTTGTTATTCATGTCAATTAAAATTTAACTCAGCAGCTGTACTTGTATTTACTATCTGGACCGCTCTCTTGGGTTGAAATAAGAGTAGCTATCAGGTAACCTTGACCACTTGGCTCTGCTGTTAATGCTGCAGACATCCTCACACTTGAAGGGGTAGGAAAGTGAGTCTACTCCTTAAGCTAGGTTAGGCACACATCCCTTGTAGACCAATTTGTGCTCATGACCACTTAAAATACTGGAGGATAAAATGTGAAGCTCCAAATAAGCAATAAACTTTGAACCACACCACGTTTATATTTTTCTTAAATTAATATTTCTTTTGTGCCCTGTTAGGGAGAAGCAGGTCCCACTGGAGCAAGAGGCCCTGAAGGTCCCCAAGGGCAAAGAGGTGAAACTGGGCCACCAGGTCCAGTTGGCTCTCAGGGTCTTCCTGTAAGTTCCTAGCACATTTAAGAATGATGTTCTTAACAGAAAGCTTGACACGTTTTATAACATCAGAACGAAAGCAATCTATTTTAATATATCTTCTTTGAATTCTGAATGAGTGTTTGCAACTGATTTTAGAAAACATATTTCTCTTGACAACTCTGCAAAATTTTATCTATTTTTATGGAAAGGGAATTAGTTATAAAAGTGAGTTTTATGATATAATGGTGGTTGATGATTTATAATAATTTTCTGCCTCCTTTTAGAATATGGGTGGACATCCAAAGACCACCCTAAACATGGCTTAATGTCTTATAAACTTTTCATATATCTTTTAGGGTGCGGTAGGAACTGATGGGACACCTGGTGCCAAAGGCCCAACGGTAAGTAACTAACTGCATTCATGCCACGAGAAACTCAAATGGACATAATCATTTGGACATTGACCATAGACTTCTACATAGGTCTGTGCTCATCATGTCACTCTTTCACTCTGCTAGGGCTCTCCTGGTACCTCTGGTCCTCCTGGCTTAGCAGGTCCCCCTGGATCTCCAGGACCTCAAGGTAGCACGGGACCTCCAGGAATTCGAGGCCAACCGGTAATGTCCTTTACAATAATTATCATCTATTAGTATAATCCAACTAAGATCACCAAGAAATATAGTATTCAGTGAGATGCAATTAAACATAGATAACGTGACTTATCTGAATGAGGCAATTGAAGATAGAAATCTTTGTAAAGTGGAAGCCAAGTGTTAATGAACAGTTTAGGGGTTTAAATTCAAAGGGGAACATTACTGTGTTGTTTTGGATTTTAGTGGGTTTTTTATTTAAAATAATAAGGTCGTGACTTTATGGTCTTCCTCATAGAATTTTATCAGTAGTTGAATAATAACCATTGTGGAAATATTTTTGCAAGCCAGTGTGAAGAAATGTGTAGGTTAGAATGACAGTTTGGTGAAAAATGGATTCAACAGCCATTTCTTGAGAGTTATCGTGAAGAGTGACCCCACCATATTGTTCAAATTGAGTGAATTTCCATATTTTGTGAAATTATTTATTAGAAAAAATTATGATGAGCCCATAAGAAATAAACACATTGAGAAGTTGTGCTTATATATTTTTAGCTTGATATGTAAAAATTAAAACTTTCTTAGCACTACCTAAAATAAATACTTTGAATTCTGTTCCAAGTAACTTAGTTATGCTAATAAATCCTTTTAAATGCTGGTGACAGATTTATTAAAACATGAGTGTTGCTGATATTTCACGTTCGATGTTATCATGTTCTCAATTTAGCAATCTGTTTCCCACAAGTTTAACTGGTATTTAAAGACACAGATACATAAAACCTCAGAACACTCCAAAGATGAAATGCCGTATTTGAAGCTATCAAACTGTCAGTAAAGAGAACATAAATATAAAATTATTTTGATTCTGGGTAAATAAGTCTATTTCCTAAAAAAAACCTGAAATAGATTTATCTGTAGAAGTTGTCATTGTTAGTTCTAATTTTAATTAGCAAATTGGAATAACTGAATAATTCTAATTTTTCTAGTATGCATGATAAAACAAACAAGATTTTAAAAATAAGTCTCTTGAAGACCACTGTAAAATAGACAAATTGCTACCTAATTATACTAGATTTTATAAAATTTCACATACATTCTACAAGACTTGCAAAATTAAAAAAAAATGATAATACAGACTCAGCTGCAGAAAGTTTTTAAGGCCCATTTACTGTAATTAATTAAAGCAGGTTGGACTGGCTAAATGTCCTGGTTCTCATAACTATTCATACTTTTATTTTAGGGTGATCCAGGAGTTCCAGGTTTCAAAGGAGAAGCTGGCCCAAAAGGGGAACCAGTAAGACTTCATTATTTTTGTTTAAATGATAAGAAGAGCATAAATATTGTCCAGGAGTGTACAGGTCAAAATGCTCAAGTGTTTCAAATAATAACAATGACGAATATACCTTTGGATGGAAATAGTTTAATATAGTTTCAAATTTGTAACTGACTTCATTGAATGAAGCTTTTGACTATAACTCCCTTGTACTCTGGCTCTTTCTGGTAACCTCCTTCCGTTTTTAATAGGGGCCACATGGTATTCAGGGTCCAATAGGCCCAGCTGGTGAAGAAGGCAAAAGAGGTCCCCGAGGTGATCCAGGAACAGTCGGTCCTCCAGGCCCAGTGGGAGAAAGGGTAAAATTTGAATAATAAAATAAATTCTTAGAGTTGTGGGGGAATTACATGGGTAAGTTTTGGGATAGTAAGGAAAGCTAGAGCAGTTAAAAGAAATGCTTGCAAGTGCATTGCATGGTTCAGTATGGTTGTCTGTGAATTCAAGGAGCCAACTGTTTAATTATTGCTCATTCATTCATTCATTCATTCAACTAATACTGATTGAACAACTACATTCTGCCAGTTTGATATATTAATATATTGATATATAGTTGATATATTGGTGCTCAGTGAAAAAGAAGGCTGGGGTCCCAGCCTTCATGTGGGGGCTAGTAAACAATAGCTTGTTCTAGTAGGGAGATAAACAATAAGTCAACAGGCAAACAAAAATATAATTGTACATTTTAGTAAGTGTGGTATACACTTAGGAAATAACAGGTAATGTGGTAGAGAGTAACTTTGAGTATATGACGATAGTGTAATATTAGATTAGGTGATTAGGAAACAGGATTCTTTGGGAAGATGGCATTTTAGCTGACATCTGAAGATGAGGATGAGCCAGAAAGAGAACTTGGGAGAAAGAACATTGTCAGCAGAAGAAATAGGAAATGCAAAGCTTGGAGGCCAGGAGGGTTGGTGATTTCAGAGATTAGAAGATGTTGCTGTGGCTGGAATGTAATGAAACAGGTCTGAACGGACAACAGCATTATCACCTTACATTTGTAGAGACTTTCAGAGAATGCAAAGTGCTTCACATAGAAGACAATACAAATGCATGTTATCATTGACATTTTGATCATAGTAGATGGTGCCATTCTTTGCTGCTCATATCTAGATATCAGTTTTCCTCTATGTTTAATTTTACAATGAATTGTTAGTATAGTTCTTAATTTGAATAATTTTTGGCTCAGTACTTAAGTATTCTCCAAAATTTAAAATTTATTTCCATGTAGTTAGGGTTTTTTTTTTCCCCTTATACGTATCTATTGCCATGTTGGCTTGATCACGGCTCCTAAAACCTTATAATAATAAAATTAAAAATTACCCACTCATTATACATTTCAAGAACATCAACAACAATAAAGAATCACATTTTGGTCATTATAGGGTGCTCCTGGCAATCGTGGTTTTCCGGGCTCTGATGGTTTACCTGGACCAAAGGTGAGGTTATCCCATCGATGTTGACACTTGTGTGGCTGGTGGTCCAAAAGATGCCATTGTCCAGAATAGCGATCTAGCTTTGGTCCACATGGGGGCAGATCAAGAAAAGAGTCAGACACAGACATCAAGCCTAATGTCAAATCCCTCTTGTGCAGTTTCTATATTACAGAGGGCTAGGGAAGAAGGATAATGTTTGGAAGCATGTAGAAGTTTATTTTCAGACTTTCTCGGGACACTGCTGAGAAGAAAAGGTCATACACCTTTCCTTTAGCTGATATATAGAATTTTTTCTTTATGTAGAAATTTAGACTCTAAAATTTTGGTGTTTTTTCCCCAAATTTAGATTATCGGAGTGGTAATCTGAACTTAATTTTCATTAGTTAATGATGAAAAACCACTATTCTTGGAGAAAGACAAATGAGAATAGAATATGTAGTGATACTTTCTGTAACTTTATAACTACTTGATAAAAGTATTTGTATGGTATACTAGTGCTTTGATTTGTAAAACATAAATTTTATATTTCCTTGCTTTTATTTTCCTGCACTGTTTCTTTTTTCTGACACATTCTGCTTTGCATTGGAACAGGGGGCTCAAGGAGAAAGGGGTCCTGTGGGTTCTTCGGGACCTAAAGGAGGTCAGGGGGACCCAGGACGGCCAGGTGAACCTGGGCTGCCAGGTGCTCGGGTAAGAACACAGCCGTTTGCTACATCAACCCAAGGGAACTGCTCCTGAGAACTCATCGAAAGGGCTTTCTAATTGAGTTAGTCTTGACAAGTGGGAGCATGTCTTTGTTTTTACAATTTTGACCCGACTCACTATTTTTAAAATACTGTTTTGTTATTTTTATCATGTATATAAAATACAGCCATTTCTAGTCTCCGTTTCTCAAAGGAGTATGCATTAATCATTTTGCCACTTGACATGGAAGAAAATCCATTTATTTATTTATTTATTTATTTATTTATTTATTTATTTATTTTCTTTACTTGCTGACAAATAATTTATTGGCTTTTGGCAGAGAGAATTCCTGATAAATTTCCTTTTGACCAAATGTGACTTGAAAATTCATTTGGATTGTGGAATTCCTCTCATATTCAGTTGTCAACAGTGCTCCTCAAAGAGAAAGGAATTATACAAAAAGTTGTTGGATGGAAATGTACATTTGGCTTCACATAATCTTGAACCCAGTGTTAAATATACGAGTAAAAGTCTATTATAGCCCTTCCTCCTTCTACGTGGGAAACCGACATTTTCTTAGAAATTCCTCCCTAGATGCTTGATAAAGTTGGTATACCAGCTGAAAGAGCAGTCAACATTGCTAATAGTAAAAAATGACCCCTGACTGTAGACCACATTTGGACTGGGAGGACTATGAATTATAAACAGCTGGTGGGAGGCATAGCTTTGGGTGTTAGGAGTTCGGAGGAGCTAGGACCTGCACATTCACCTTGCCAGGATCGGTATACTACGTTCAAAGTGCTCTGACAAGTACTGGTTACGTGAGATTTCTAAACCAGAGTGGCTCCTGTGCCCACCATGTAGACTCATTGCCTCCCATGTGACCTCTCCAGTGTGGGAGGCTGTGCTGTGAGGGCTCCCCCCCAGTGAAGAGTCCCACGTGGTGCCGCCTGTTGGCACGCTCTGTTTTCTGCCCTGCATCCTTCCAAAGCCAGGTTGGCTGAGGTCCATGATTGGCCTGTGAGTTTGTCTAGAGGAGCCTAAGACCACCGAGAATGGGCATTGCCAAGTGGAACTGGATCCTTTTAACACAGTACTATTTTTACTCTCTAGAATCTTTACTTCAGTTGCAAGTCAGCAACAAAATGACAATTGCTTTTAATTTTCAGGGTCTGACGGGAAATCCTGGTGTTCAAGGTCCTGAAGGAAAACTTGGGCCTTTGGTAAGTATTTTACATAAAACTCTTTAGGGTGCCTGGGTGGCTCAGTCAGTTATGCATCCAACTCTTGATTTCAGCTCAAGTCTTGATCTCAGGGTCATGAGTTCAAGCCCCATGTGGAGCCTACTTAAAATAAATAAATAAACGCAACTCCACAACTATTAATATTGCTCAATAGACCTACAACTTAAACGGTAAGATGTTTATTTGAGGTTAATGTTTTTAATAGGGTGGATGATATATACATGTTTAAAATGCCGAAGCAAATTCATAGGATCTTCATATTTTAAAATTCACCAAAAATTGATCAAATTTAATTGATACAAATATTTGAGATTGAAATTGCTTCTCTGACATCAGTGGAAAAAGTTGAAATTATGTATTCTTCCAGTATTGGTCAAATATGTCTATTAGAAACATTCTCTTTTCTTGATGTCCTCCCAATTGTACTGGTTTAAGAGACAGGTAGGTATGACTTTTGACAGCTCATATATTCCGGGCCCTTCCTTTATGCCAAAAATGTGAAACAGAAGTACCAAATTTTCATTACCACAAGCTTGAGTAAATTAAAGAAGAAAGAAAAATTTTCCCTATGAATATGAGAATGTAAGGAGTTGTGGAGATGAAGTTTGTGTATAGAAAAAGAGTGAAATCTCTGTTCTAAATACTCAGAATACTTCAGCAATTTTTTTTAAACACTCAACTTTTCTGATGCACTAAGTAAAAGGTGAAGGATAATTTAAAACTTATGTAACTTGTATAAGTAAGGAAAGGCAAGTGATGTTTTGGGTCATACGATATTTAGAGAGAATTTACATAAAACTTACTCTGCTCCTGTGAATTTTGTAGGGTGCTCCAGGGGAGGATGGCCGGCCGGGTCCTCCAGGCTCCATAGGAATCAGAGGGCAACCTGGGAGTATGGGTCTTCCAGGCCCCAAAGGTAGCAGTGTGAGTACGGTGTATAATAAGTTTGCTATCTCATCATAATCCTCACTTGAAGCAGGCATGTTTTGAGCAAATCGATTGAATTTTAGAATAGTTTCTAATTTTTCTCTAGGGTGACCCTGGAAAACCTGGAGAGGCAGGAAATGCTGGTGTTCCTGGGCAGAGGGTAACTATACATTTTCTGCCAAGGGGGAGAAATATACATATATGTATATATGAAATTATCCAAATGTCTTGTGGCCTCACTTCACATATCATCTCTGTGTGATACTAGGGAGCTCCTGGAAAAGATGGTGAAGTTGGGCCTTCTGGTCCCGTGGGCCCCCCGGTAGGTGATCTTTCAACGAGAATGTATTCACATTGCATTTTTCATTGATGTTTGTTTACAACTTGACTTTGAGTAAGTTTCAGGGGAAGTAAATAAGAAAGTACAGGATTGAAGAATTTCAGTTATAATCTTTTCTTTTGATTTCTGTTCTGGCACCTTCTGCCTTTTTAAATCAAGTGATTGGACTTTTCATTTTAAACTTCTTTAAAATGTTGATGGTAAAAGCTACCTCATCATCTTTTTGTGTTGAAGAATATGTCAACTGAGGAAAATCAGTTTGACGAATGTTTTGACAAATATTTTGTACTGTCTTTTATTAATAATATATAAATACTGAGTTATACCTATATTCTTCTAATGATGTCTTATAGCAGTTTATTTAAGCTGACTTATTTTTTTTGGAGGACTAAAAAATGAAAAATTTTATCCTTTGAGGTACATTTGCATCCAAGGATTCTAAAATTAAATATTTATCAGAAATATTTTGGCATATTTATTTGTTTGCAATGGGGCAATTTAAGTATCTTTCTAAAATGTTAGCTTTGCTTTCTTCAGTTGTTCTAGTGTTTGAAACCTTGACTAATACTTTTTATGACACTGAAAAATAAATTGGAATAGAAATACAGGTTTCCCCCATTATCTGAAAGTAGAGTGTTCCTGGGGAAACTTTTATAAGCTGAAATGGTATAAAGCAAAGAAGCAATTATCATTAATTTATATGGAAAATTTTCTTAAAATTCCCAGACTCCAAAAAGAACCTCTCCTAGGCTTTTCTAATACCTTAGCACATATCTTGTTGTAACACATGCACAAAATAAATGTAGATAAAACGCAGATGCTCACAGACACAGCTCAGCGCTCTGGTGGCTTGATGCTGAGATGCCGAGTGTGGTTCCCCAGGAAGGAGGAGATTGTACCTGCCACTCTTGCTCCTAGGGGTGCACTGCCTCTGTGACAGCTCCCTGCAAAAAAACGCTGAATGCTTTTTTTGCTTTTTGCCTTTTTTCCTAAAAGCAAAACTTCTCTTCAGATTTCTTGAAGTTAGCAGAAAGCTAATATAGACCTTCCATAAAAGTGAAGTGCTAGAACATAAACTTTGGAAAAGCAGGGGATACTTGTATTACTTGCTTAGATTAGATATATGAAAGTAATGAATTTTTCCATGTTCAACTTATCCAATTCCCCCACAATTTTATGGTTGGCTCTAGACATTTTATGTTTGGATCAAAAAATAAACATATGTCATCAGTGTCTTTGCTGGCTTTGGAAGATATTTTCTCACGAGCAAGGACTTCCACCAATACCATTAAACTATTTCATTATAATGCTAGTTCATTATCTGGTTAAAGTGAAAACATGTGATTAGAAAAAAGGCAAATATCAATACTTCTAGTAGGTCACAAAACAGGAAGCAGGTGTAAAGATTGGTTCTATTCATGATTTTCTTTCCTTCATGACTTAGGGTCTAGCTGGGGAGAGAGGAGAACAGGGACCTCCAGGCCCCACTGGCTTTCAGGTATGCACAAATTCCTTTTTCCATTTCTTCTACCATTAATTAAACTGCTTTTTTAAAATATGAAAAGATATGGTCAAATGATGTGAAATTCCACAATTTTCAAAAAAGTCATCCATCTTCTAGTAAGTAGATAAAATGGATAAAACCCAACATTTTTGTTCAGAGAGAAGGAACAGACTTCCCTGAAAAACTGATCAAAATCCAAAATTATTAACAAATTAAAAATTATAAAATGTTTTTGTTAAGCTTTTGAACTGTTTTAAGGTTTATCTAGTTTTACAGACACAATGTCTTAAAATTTTTGTTAAACAAATTTTTAAGATTTATCTAAATATATTGTATGGGAAATTATTTAATAATGGATAATGATAATTTGGTAAAAAAAAAAACACTTTCAGGAGTGACTTTCAGTACTATACTAGCAACCTAAAATATTGCTTTCAGACCCATAAAAACTTGACAGATGTTAAGAATCTCCTGTTAGATTCTTATCTTTATTTTTTTTTTTTGCTAAGTGGTGTCCAAGTGAAAATCTAAACCTATAAACTGACCAGTTGCTGCATTATGGTAGAAGATAGAGTTTTCTTATTCTGCTTTGCTTGTCTTTAAACAATATCCTTTGCTTGAGAAAGTATAGTCATGGAGGGCCCATGAATTATAAAGGTAAACTCTTAACTCTAGTGGCCTATTAAACTTTCACCAATTCACTATTTCATTTTCTTCCTTTTCCTTTAGGGGCTTCCTGGTCCTCCAGGGCCTCCTGGGGAAGGTGGAAAGCCAGGTGATCAGGTAAGTTCATTTAAAATAATAATAATAATAGCAATAATAAAAATTGCTGGGCCATTATATGTGAAGTTCTGTTCTGGTTTGCTTTGTAAATGTTCTCTCTTTTAATCCTCAAAACAACCCTATATATCTAGGTACTAGTAGGATGCCTATTTTTCAGATGAGGAAAATGAGACACAGACATGTTAGGTGACTTTCCCAAAGTCACACATCTGGTATAATTTGAATCCTGGAAGGCTGCTTCCCAAGACTGTGTTTTTAATCACTAAATATATATCTTATCATAATTACAGAGTTTTACTGGAGACTTTATAAATGGTTATAAACAGATACTATTTTATTTCTATTATTTTACCAGGACATCAGTTAATTTATTTTTCTATGAGTGATTTGTTCATTCATTTGACCATTCAACAAATATTTGCTGAGCACTCTGTGCTTAGTTGTATTAAGCCCTGGCCCTAACCAATTGAACAAGATGGACACGAACCTAGCTTTTATATTACATCATAGTAGGAGATAGAGAGTTTCTGGGGAGGCACTCTGTGTGTGGAAACATAGAAGATGCACCGAATTCGGACTTGGAGATTTAGGAAAAGTTTCCCAGACAAAGTAATATCTTTTATGAGTAAGGGGGGAGGAGGGAAGGTAGTAAAATACTCCAGAAAATGGGAACAGCAGGTGCGAAGGTTTTGTGGTCAAATGAAGGCACTGAAAAAGTTGGTAAGTCAGGAATGCATAGTATAGGTTGATGTGGAGGTGAGGCTGGATGGGGAATCAGGAGTCCGATTATGGAAAGTCTGAATTTGAATGTAGTTTGTTTGGATTCTTCTTTTTTTAAAATATTTTATTTATTTATTTGAGAGAGAGAGAGCGAGCACAAGCAGGGGGGAGGGGTAGAGGGAGAGGGAGAAGCAGACTCCCCGCTGAGCAGAGAGCCTGAAGAGGGACTCGATCCCAGGAGCCTGGGATCATGACCTGAGCTGAAGGCAGTCACTTAACGGACTGAGCCACCCAGGCCCCCTGTTCAGATTCTTCTAATGGAAGATGATGAGGGGCTTTTAAGTAGGGAGTAGTACAATTAGATTTGGGTTTTAGGAAGATCACACCACATGGAGGACAATACATTGCAGGGGAGAAAACTGGAGGCCCACTTGATACACTTTTCGTTTTGTTTCATTTTTTTAGTAAAAGGCAAGGCTTATTTGAGGAACTGACATAAAAGGTGGGTCACTAAGTCACTAGCAGCAGTGATGTTCTAGTGTGACTGCCACCAGCTAGTGTGTAGGTGCTACATGCGGAGGGAATGCTAGCCCTCCATTTTGGAGGACGTGACGTTACTGTCCAAGGACAGCACATGTTTCTTCATGTTTCACTTCCCCTGGCATCATCCTGGGTTGGGGATGGAGGATAGACACTGATGCCTCTAAAGTGAAGACATATATCCATGTGCCCAAGAGAACTCTTCTGTCACACTAGTGAAAATGTCTCATGATGGAGGATTACAATGGAAACAAACATATTGAGTATATTGAGATTAACATTTGTGATTTTGTAAACATAGATGGTAGTGGTTTTAGGTGTCATTGTTATCTGTTATCATCCAAACTATCAGACATAGGCTACTTTGTCAAAAATATACTCTATTCAGAATATTGCAGGGTGTTATAGTGTAAATCAAGACACTATGAATAGTGCACTATCTGCCACAAAATTGCAAGCCATATCATATTTAGAAATCGCAAGATGTACCATTACTTACATATCACTACAAAACACCACATGATGCTGATTAAGCTACCACGATGTTTTCTTATGAGATAAAATATTATTGAAAGAACTCTCGGATATATTTATACTTAGGTTTTCTTTTAAACCACATATGACCCATTAGCATACATAAAAAGGAAAATGAGAGATAAATAATTTGATTAAATCATTCTTAAAACTTGACATTCAGGATCAACCCAAAGTCTAAATTAGTTTTCATCCCAGTCTTTGATGACCATGACTTTCTACACACAGCTTTCTTTGTCATTAGTTATTATTTTTAATCAAAGAGAGACATTTTCAACTTTTTGGCAAACTTTCTTTTAGTTAAGAATAAACTGAAACTCGTAACATAGTCATGACTGCACTAGTTTGAACCCACAATTCCCGGTAGACTGCACTGTCCATAGTATATGGTCAAGAAATATTTACTAAATTGAATTGAATTGGCTCTGTTTAAGAGATCAGCTCTTTATGGCTTTTTATTCCAGTTTCCTTTATTAAAATGTTTTCACATTAAGAAATAAAATTACTGGGGCGCCTGGGTGGCTCACTCGTTAAGCGTCTGCCTTCGGCCCAGGTCATGATCTCAGGGTCCTGGGATCGAGCCCCTCATCGGGCTCCCTGCTCGGCGGGAAGCCTGCTTCTCCCTCTCCCACTCCCCCTGCTTGTGTTCCCTCTCT